GCCACCGAAAATGCCCCAGCCCTAGTCACAGCAAGTTTGGCTTCTCTCGGGCCTGGAATCTCCAGGAGATGTTGCCCTCCCGACCGAAGTGCCCTTGGGGGAATGTTATATGTTATGTTAGTATGTTTTATATGTTTGTACACTGAAATATATATATATATATATATTTAATGTTGGCCCGCTCACAGTTTTAAAGCTAGCACCACTTTTGGCTCACAGGGTAAAATCTCTGCTCACGAGACTGCACGCCTTAGAGGGAACATTGCCTACTGCCTGGTCCCTTTTAACTGGAGTTGTCAGGGATTGAACCTGGGACCTTCTGCGTGCCAAGCGGAGGCTCTTCCGCTGAGCCACAAGCCCCCCTCCGCTGTCCCAAGCAGTCAGACCACACCATACAGTTGAGGCATCACTGGATCCCTCACAGCTGCAAAGGACGCTGGGGCTTAACTTCTGACAGGCTCAGCCTCATTGGTGCCTCCCCCTTCTCAGCCTCATGGGGTTTCCATGAAAGGACTACTGAGATATATGTCAGAGTGACAGAGGTAGCAAGCAGTTACTTTAGATCAGTTTGATCTGTTTGTCAGACCTAGCTGTCATGCTAGTAATCATGTAATTACAGCCAGGTGTTCTCTAGCAGGTGTTGCTCTTTCAGGGCTTGTTAGAGCTAGTGATTACATCACCTTGTTAGAGATTGGCTGGGGTTTAGCATAATAGCTATCAGCTTAGTAAACTGGAGGGGGACTTAGTTCTCATAGACTAAGGCACGACATGCTGTTCAATAGCCTGTAAATATCTCTGTATATATTCACCTTTATAACTATATAAACTCTCCGTGCACCTTCATAACTGGTCAGTCTCCCGCTTCTTATTTACAACACCCAATAAGGACTAGCAATAAACACTGACTCCAAAGCCTCCAGGGCCCATCCCAAGAACATCAGAGAAGCCATGTTGGATCAGGCCAGTGGCCCATCCGTAGAATCGGAGTTGGAAGGGACCTCCAGGGTTACAGAATCATAGACCTGGAATGGATGCCCAGGGCCATCTGGTCCAACCCCCTGCACAATGCAGGACATTCACAAATACCTCCCCACCCCCACACACACACGCACCCTCAGTGACCCCTGCTCCACGCCCAGAAGATGGCAAAAAAAACCCCAAACCCTCCAGGATCCCCAGCCAAACTGGCCTGGAGAAAATGGCTTCCTGACCCCGGCGACCGGCATTTCCCTGGGCGTGTACGTTGGACCCTCTGTGCCACACAGTAGCCAAAACCCAGGGGCCATCATGAGGTCCACTAGTGGGGCCATCTTACCTCCTCCAGCCTGCTGGTCCTCAGGTAACCACTCCTCTGAAGGATGGACCAAGTGATCTCCGTATCATTGACGTTCATCTGACAGCCATAAGTCTCCAGGTACACTGGAACAAGGAGGAGGACACATGAAAATCCATGAAATTTGGACGGGGGGTGGGGTGGGGACGGACGGCTGAACAGCCGAGGGCCCCATACTGAGACTCTCTTGACGCCTGAGAATGGTAGACTAGCCCCCCCCCCCAACTGAAGACAAGAAGATACTCTGTCTCTAAAGCATCTCTTTCGCTCCAGGCAGGGAGACGCCACAACCTTTCCTCCGTTCCTGAACATCTCTTAAAAGAAGCAATGTTCTTTCAAGTTGCTCACTACAGGTCACCCTGACCTGGATGGCTCCGGCTAGGCCAATCTTCTCAGATCTCGGAAGTTAAGCATAAGAACATAAGAGAAGCCAATGTTGGATCAGGCCAACGGCCCATCCAGTCCAACACTCTGTCACACGGTGGCCAAAAATACCAGGTGCCATCAGGAGGTCCAGCAGTGGGGCCAGGACAATAGAAGCCCTCCCACTGTTGCCCACCCCCAAGCACCAGGAATACAGAGCATCCCTTGCCCCAGACTGAGAGTTCCTACCTATACCTTGTGGCTAATAGCCACTGATGGACCTCTGCTCCATATGTTTAACCAGTTCACTCTTATAAGAACAGAAGAGAAGCCAGTGTTGGATCAGGCCAATGGCCGATCCAGACCAACACTCTGTGTCACATGGTGGCCAAAAATACCAGGGGCCATCAGGAGGTCCACCAGTAGGGCCAGGACACTAGAAGCCCTCCCACTGTTGCCCCCCCCCGAGCACCAAGAAGACAGAGCATCCCTTGCCCCAGACCGAAGGTTCCTATCTAGACCTTGTGGCTAACAGCCAATGATGGACCTCTGCTCCACATAAGAACATAAAAGAAGCCAATGTTAGATCAGGCCAACGGCCCATCCAGCCCAACACTCTGTGTCACACAGTGGCCAAAAAGACCAGGGGCCATCAGGAGGTCCAGCAGTGGGGCCAGGACACTAGAAGGCCTCCCACTGTTGCCCCCCCCCAGCACCAAGAATACAGAGCATCCCTTGCCCCAGAATGAGAGTCCCTATCTATGCCTTGTCCAGACCAAGAGTCCCTATCTATTTGTTGTTGTTCAGTCGCACAGTCGAGTCCGACTCTTCGCGACCCCATGGACCAGATCACGCCAGGCCTTCCGGTCTTCCGCCGTCCTCTGAAGTTGGCTCAATTTCATGTTCGTTGCATCGATGACACTGTCTAACCATCTCATCCTTTGCCGTCCCATCTCATCCTTTGCCCTATCTATACCTTGTGGCTAAGAGCCACTGATGGACCTCTGCTCCAGATGTTTATCCAGTTCCCTCTTATAAGAACAGAAGAGAATCCAGTGTTGGATCAGGCCAAAGGCCCATCCAGTCCAACACTCTGTGTCACACAGTGGCTGAAAATACCAGGGGCCATCAGGAGGTCCAGCAGTGGGGCCAGGACACGAGAAGCCCCCCACACACACACTGTTCCCCCAGAGTCGGCCCTGGGTCCAGGGTTGCTATGCAGAGGCAGGAAAGGGCAAACCACCTCTGTTCGTCTAGGCCCTGCCCTGGATGGCCCAGGCTAGCCAGGTCTCACCAGATCTCGGAAGCTCAGCAGGGTCACCTCCGGTTAGTACTTGGATGGGAGACCCCCAAGGGCTGCTCTGCAGAGGCAGGGAAGGGCACACAAAAGTGTGCTATACTGAAGGAGACTGTTGGTCCATCAAAGTCAGCATTGTCTACTCAGACTGGCAGCAGCTCTCCAAGGTCTTTCCACCTACAGCCGGGTCCTTTTTAACTGGAGATGCCAGAGATGCCATCGGGGATTGAACCTGGGACCTTCTGCAGGCCAGGCAGAGGCTCTGCCACTGAGCCACAGCCCCTCTTTACAGCTCTCCAGGGTCTCAGGCGGAGGTCTTTCCCATCCCCTCCTGCCTGGTCCCTTTAACTGGAGCTGCCGGGGATTGAACCTGGGACCTTCTGCAGGCCAGGCAGAGGCTCTGCCACTGAGCCACAGCCCCTCTTTACAGCTCTCCAGGGTCTCAGGCGGAGGTCTTTCCCATCCCCTCCTGCCTGGTCCCTTTAACTGGAGCTGCCGGGGATTGAACCTGGGACCTTCTGCAGGCCAGGCAGAGGCTCTGCCACTGAGCCACAGCCCCTCTTTACAGCTCTCCAGGGTCTCAGGCGGAGGTCTTTCCCATCCCCTCCTGCCTGGTCCCTTTAACTGGAGCTGCCGGGGATTGAACCTGGGACCTTCTGCAGGCCAGGCAGAGGCTCTGCCACTGAGCCACAGCCCCTCTTTACAGCTCTCCAGGGTCTCAGGCGGAGGTCTTTCCCATCCCCTCCTGCCTGGTCCCTTTAACTGGAGCTGCCGGGGATTGAACCTGGGACCTTCTGCATGCCGAGCAGAGGCCCTGCCACTGAGCCACGGCCATAACCAGTAAGCTACTTCTCAACCTCTCTTGCCTTGCAAGCCCTACAGGGTCGCTATAATTCAGCTGCAACATGATGGCACTTCCCCACTTCTGACGACAGTCCCTCCCTACACTTTGGCACAGGGAGTCTGCCCCTGATACTCAGAAACACGTCCTCTTCATTTCGGGGTGATGTGAACTGATGGAAATTTAGCTGTGATCACTTAAGAGCGCAGGAAAGGAATTCTGCCGATGCGAAAGGATGCTCTAATTAATTCAAGTGCTCTGAGGCTTATTCTCAAGCGCACTGAGAACGTATCCTGAGTCCAGAGTCTCCCCGCAGTGCCAAAGACCAGAGGTTGGCCAAGGCAGGATTGGAATTCATGGCCCGAGTCGCCGCCCCCACCCCGGGGGACGTTCCTCCCCATCCGTGCAAACAGCAAATGCAGAACGCACAGCTCCTGCTCCCAAGACTAAAAGAATCCTCCGCTCAGAACCAATGCTCCCTCTAAGTGGTGGAGTCTTGTGAGCAAAACATCTACGTTGTGAGCTCCTGGCATTAAAATTGTGAGCGAGCGAATTGGCGACTGCATCGATTAGTTCGCTCTGGAGCCCCATCCTTCCTGAATGAAGACAAAAATGTGTGAGCCAGGGGCTAGAAAACTGTGAGCTAGGTCTAGAGATGTGAAGGCCCGGAAAAAAACGGAAAAATTCGGGGGAAAAAAGTTTTTTTCCAGAAGCCTTTTTTGTTTTTTTCCGAAAAATTGGAAAAACTGAAAAAAGAAAAGAAAAAAAAATTGATTAAGGAACGTTTTTTTTTAACATGATGAATAAAATATTATAAGACAAGGTGTTCAAATATTTTCCAAATCATTTCTAAGATATATATATATGGTATCAGATTGATCTAATTTCTGTGCACTGAGGACAAGCAAGTCCTAGGTTACAAACTGAACTCTCCAATGCAAGTACAAGATGCATTTCTTCCTTTAGGAGGTGCTATTGTCATGAGAAAAGAAAAAGGTTTCAGTTTTGTTTTTGCATGTGGGCGGGTATTCTGTTTGTAATAACTGTTTGGATACACTATATTTTTAATATGCTAGTTGTGATAATTTCATGCCAAGTAAAAATGTCCACAGTCATATTTTATGTTCCTAAAGTAACAGAATGACTTTCAATCTAGAAAAGACAAAAGAAGTGCTAATGTAGCATTTTTTTCAAATTTTCTGAAAATTTCCGTTTTCCCTCGAAAAAAACTGGGAAAAACCCGAGTTTTTTTCCGAGCTTCAAAATTTCCGGAAATTTTACATCTTTAGCTAGCTCACACTCACTCAGCTTAGAGGGGACATTGCTCAGAACAGAACAGGCTGTGACGGTCAGAGTCAGGCCACACGACAAACACAGACCTTTTCTTGGCGCCTCGGCAACCGTGTCAGTCCCAAGGTAGTGAGCTGCGTCCTCCTTTGCGTCATCTGGCAAGCGGTGGCTTTCCTGCGCAGGGGCAGCACCTCGTAGAAAATGCTGCATGGGCGGCCCCGTGGCTAACTTGACACGGAAAGCTTCCAGGCCCCCTCCTGACTGCTTGGCTCCCTCGGTGTGTGTCCCGGAATCCAGACTGTGGCCCGTGGAACCCAAAGTCCGCAGTGCCAATGGCAAGGTCCAGCCCGCAGGCCTGCGGCGCAGCAACCTGGTGCCTCCCAGAATGCATTGCCAAGGCTGCATCTTCCACAAATGCAGCTCCCCGCTCCTGGAACAAGTCCACAGATCAGCGATGTTAGCAGCCTTCACAATGGACGCTTTAAACACAACGCACCTTGTACATGGAAAGCACAGGAGTGCAAAAAAAAAAAAAATGCAACTGAGACAACACGCACTGGTTGGCAGACACTTTGGCCCAATCTGCATCTAGCATTCGCTCCACTGCTTTACCAAACCCACACTGGAACAGAAGAAGATGCGGCTCAAAACCACATTCAGATGCCCCGGGGCCAACGCTTTACTGACTGCAGAGTCACCTGCCATAAAAGGGCCAGAAATCTATGCAGACGGCTAGAAATAGAAGAGAATAATGGATTTATACCCCGTCCTTCATTACCCAAAGAACTCTCAGAGCGGCTTACAAACTGCTTTCCCTTCCCCTCCCCACAACAGACACCCTGGAAGGTCGGTGGGGCTGAGAGGGCTCTTGACATAAACTGCTCTTTTTTCAAGAACAGCTCTGACAGAACTATGGCTTGCCCAAGGTCATCCAGCCAGCTGCAAGCGGAGGAGTGGGGGAATCAAACCCGATTCTCCCAGATTAGAGTCAGCGCACTTAACCACCACACCAAACTGGCTCTCTTGAAAGCAACTCCCTAAGCATCCTCCGCGTTTATTCACTTTGGTCCAGCAGAGAGCAGTTCCCTCACATCCAGGACCCAGAAAATTATTTCCCACCGGCTTCTTGAACTTACATTAACTGGAGGTGATGGGAATCAATGCCGGGGCTGCCTGCGCTCAGCCACTGAGCCAAATCTATCTATCTAGTACTGCTCATATGGCTAAAGCAGAAATTAGGGCCCCCCCCCCCCAAATTAAAAAGCCTTCACTATTATTGCTCTTCTACTTGATTATTGCGCCTATGAATTTCCCCACAGAGAGGGTGACACGATCATTTGTATCCTATAGTAGCCATGACACCTGGGCTTGCACATTTAGCAATTCCAAATCGTAAGAAGAGCCCCACTGGCTCAGAGCAATGAGGGTCCATCTAGAAGAAGAAGAGGTTGGATTTATACCCCGCCCTTCACTTGGAGTCTCAGAGCAGCTTACAGTCTCCTTTCCCTCCCCCTCCCCACAACAGACACCCTGGGAGGCGGGTGGGGCTGAGAGAGCTCTGACAGAAACTGCTCTTTTTCAAGGACAGCTCAGAACTACGGCTTGCCCAAGGTCATCCAGCAGGTGTGAGTGGAGGAGTGGGGAATCAAACCCAGTTCTCATAGTTTAGAGTCCGCATACTTAACCACAACACCAAACTGGCTCAGCTTCCCGTCACACACATCAGCCAGCCAGTTCCTCCGGAGCACCAATAACAGGGCAGAGAGGCCAAGGCCTTCCCCTGAGAAGAACCTAAGAAGAGCCCTGCTGGGTCAGACCACTGAGGGTCCATCCCGTCCAGCATCCTGTCCCACAAAGTGGCCAACCAGTTCCTCTGGAGGGCCAACCATAAGAGCATCAGAAGAGCCAGGCAGGATCAGACCAGGGAGGGTCCATCCAGTCCAGCCTCCCGTCTCACACAGGGGCCAGCCAGTTCCTCTGGAGGGCCAACAACAGGGCAGAGAGGCCGAGGCCTTCCCCTGCTATTGCCTCCTGGCTCTGGGATTCAGAGGTTGACTGCCTCTGAACATGGAGGTCCCCTGTACTCAGCGTGGCTAGAAGCCACTGATAGCCTTCTCCCACCGTGAATCTCCCTGACCTCCTTGTAATGCTGTCTGTGCCTGGCCCCATCACTGCATCCCCTGGCAGCGGATTCCACATCTGAACCACTAACTGCTTAAAGTAGTATTTCCTGTTGTCCTCCCGAACCTACTGCCCATCAGCTTCCTGGGGACGCCCTCCAGTCCTGGCATGCTGGGAGGAGAGAAAGTTCTCTCTGCCAACTCTCTCCCCTCCGTGCCTGACTTTAGCGCTCCCCCTCTCATGCCCCCTCCCCATTCGTCCAGCCCTGCTTGCCAATTCCTCCCGCCTGGCCACCAGCCTTTTCTCCTCTCCAGGCCACCGGACATAAGAAGCACCAGCGGTCCAGCCGAGCCGAGCCTCCTGTCGCTGGACTTCGTGCACGGACCGGGCTGCACTTAGAAGGTCAGAACCGGCGAGGCGGGGCGTGCAAAAGCGGCTGCTCCGCCATGGCCCCAGCAGCGCCGGCCACCAGGAGGGTGGCTTCAAGGTGACGACCCCCGGAGCTGCCCAAAGCCCGCGATGCAAGAGGCCCGCCGAGAGCAATGCCCACGCCGGGCACTTCACCTGCCTGTCTCCCTCTCCCTTCACCTGCGCAAGGGACGCTCAGCACCTCCACCTGCCAATCAAGCCCTCCACGACAGCCGGGGGAGCCTCATCCGCGCAGGCGCCGTTCGCCCGCCGGCTTCTCCGCCTTCCGCCGGCCGCAGCGAACCCACGTGGCCGCCTCCAGCGGCGTTCGGTGCAGCGACCAAAGTATTCCGGAGTTCTCTAGGAAATTATTCCCCGCCGCTTCTGGGTTCCGGGCTCAAAGAGTTCCGGTCTTTTTTTCCTTTTTCTTTCGGAGCGGTATGGTTATAATTCCGGAGGCTTCGCTCGACGGGGGGTAGTTCTGATAAGAGCTGTCCTTGAAAAAGAGCCGTTTCTGTCAAGAGCTCTCCCAGCCCCGCCTGCCTCACAGGGTGTCTGTTGTGGGGAGGGGAAGGGAAAGGAGATTGGAAGCCGCTCAGACTCCTTTGGGTAGTGAAGGGTGGGGGTGTAAATGCAATCTCTTCTCCTCCTCCTCCTCCTCTTCTTCTTCCCTTCCCCACTCCTCCACTTGCACCTGCTGGATGACCTTGGGCAAGCCGTAGTTCTGATAAGAGCTGTCCTGGAAAAAGAGCAGTTTCTGTCAGAGCTCTCTGAGCCCCACCCACCTCACAGGGTGTCTGTGGTGGGGAGGGGAAGGGAGAGGAGCTTGTGAGCCGCTCTGAGACTCCAAGTGAAGGGTGGGGTATAAATCCAATTTCTTCTTCTTCTTCCCTTCCCCACTCCTCCACTTGCACCTGGCTGGATGACCTTGGGCAAGCCATAGTTCTGTCAGAGCTGTCCTTGAAAAAGAGCAGTCTCTGTCAAGAGCTCTCTCAGCCCCACCAACATCACTGGGTGTCTGTTGTGGGGAGGGGGAGGGAAAGGAGTTTGTCAGCCGCTCTGAGACATCTTTGGGTAGTGAAGGGTGGGGGTGTAAATCCAATCTCTTCTTCTCTTCTTCCTTTCAGAGCTCCCAGGCCTTTCTGAGTTGCAGTGCGGCAGGCAGAAAGTCAGCAGGGAAAGCTTGGCGAGGCGCGGTGTTGAATGGCTGCCTGTCCAGAGAGTGGCCGAGAGAAGCCCTGCCAGGGAGGGGCAGGGGAAAGTGAAATATACTGGGTTCACACGCGTTGAGTGATCAGCTCGTAGTTTATTCCTGATAGCAGCTCAAACGAAAGACGCCTCGGCAGGACCACAGCCCTGCTTAAATGTGCACCCAACACCACACTCAACACACACCCGGTGGATGCATTCAGACGGGCCATTTAGTCCCCAAGTGGTGTTTTCCTGATTCTCCGGTGCTAGCTGCACTTTTCTGACTTCTGATCGCTTCTGCGGTGTCGAGCCAGTTCCGCTCAGAAGCTGAGGCTTCCGCTCTTCGCCCGCCATTTTATTTTAGCGTCGGTGGTATGCACATAGGCGGAGGTCCGCCACCGCGTTATTAAAAACAATGTTTGAACGGTGCCTAGTTTTGTTGGTTAGATGAGTTCGGGCTCTCACGGAGGCCAGTTTCGGGGTAAACGTTTAAAGGGAAGTGTTACAGCAGTTGGGTTGAAGTGGAAATCGCTGTTCTGCGCACGTACAAAAATTTTAATTCTACAGATGGCCGCCTGTGCGCATGCCCAAACTGAGGGGGGGGAACGCCGACGCACACTCCTGCGTGTGGACGGCGGGGAGCGATGTGGCTACGCAGCGATCCGGAACAAGGAGGTGAGTGTGATCGCGACCGGAGCAGTTTAAACCGCTCCCAGCATGCCATCTGACCGCACTCAGTGATAGGCTATCTACACTCCCACTCTAGCTTAATTGGTTCCTTCCAGAATCCTGGCGGTCTATTGTTTAGTTACTCAAGCTCGGTCAAGGTCCTACTAGGTAGGGGAGCAGATGCAGTTGGGGGGGGCAGGAAGCACTGTTCCAATAGGGCCGAAGGTAAGAGTTGCCAACCTCCATGTGGCCAAACTAAGCATACACACGTTAAAAAATGAGTATCGTGCAAAACAGAACAAAGCGTTCTGGGAATGAGGCATTTCAGGGAAGGATTCTTTACCGGCAACAAGGATCTGTGGCAAATCCGTCACCAGCTCCTGTCCTCCTTTTGAAGCTCCATCCCTCCAAACACAGCTGTTATCTATAGTTATTCCACTCCCAGGCTATCCTTTCAGGGCTGGTAACCGTCAACAGACGACACTTGCTCAGGAGTGATGGGCCCATTTTGAATGATCGAACACCGCTTATTTCCAGCGGCTACGCGATGTGGCGAACCCCCTGAAAAATGTGGACAGGGGAGTCGGGAGACGGACGGCTCAGCGCCAACCACTTGTGCTCTTTGTTCAGGTGAGTGGAGCACAAAACATTCTGGTGATACATCACTGCGATGCGATCGCTGACCTTGGACACTGAGGACGGGCTACAGGGATGTTCGGCTAGGTTATGGGCAGAGGGGAGCACTGCAGTGGAAGGCAGAGCAAGAGAGGAAGCCCCTGAGAGGGACGGCTGGAGCTGTCCTTCGACGAGCGTATGGGATCACAAGCAGTGTTCCCTCTAAGCTGAGTTAGTGTGAGCTAGCTCACAGCTTTTTAGCCTCCGGCTCACACATTTTTGCCTTAGCTCAGGAAGGAGGGCTCCAGAGCACACTAATTTATGCAGGAGCCCAATCGCTCGCTCACAACTTTAATGCCAGGAGCTCACAAAGTAGAATTTTTGCTCACAGGACTCCACAGCTTAGAGGGAACCTTGATCACAAGTTGCTTTACGTCAGGGGTGGCCAAGCTGTGGCTTGGGATTTGCCCCATGTAAAGCACTCCTGTTGAGATACAATCGACCGCTGCCTGCTGAAATCACTCTGCCTTCGCCTCTGCCGTGTTACGCCCACTGTTTAACAGCCGGCCAGGTAGGCTCCCTCCGGACCTCCTTTTCAAGAGTGTGGCAAAGGGGCCTGCTGGTCTCATATCGTGTGGCTCTCAGCAGGGCGGCTGGGGAAGCGAAAGGGAAGCATGCCTACCCAATTGTTCTTCCCTTCCCCTGCCAGTGTTCCCCTCCCTGGGTAGGCTTGAGCTGGGGGGGGGGGAGCAGAGAAAGAAAGCGACTTTAACTTTAAATGCCTTCGCCAAGTCAGCCAGCATGGGGACGTGGGGGTTAAAGTTGCTTTCTTTCCACCTCTCTCTTGCCCTCATCTGTTGGCTTTCTTTCCACCTTTCTCTCTCTCACACTTTCTCCCCTCCCTCCCCATCTGTCACGGCTCAGGTGGGGTGTCACCTGACGCTGCCACCACTCTGGTTCCAGGCTCCCTTGAGAAGGCCCAGAGCACCCTCCCAAGACCTTCAGACGTCCCTTTTGGCCAAGTAATAGGCCTGAGGACCAGGCAGAGTGAAACAAGGAGAAGGTTTATTTTATAGGAGGTCAAACAACAAGGTGCAGGAATAATAACAGTAAGTGGGTGAAAAGAAAAGGAATCAAAGGCCCTAACGCGTCTAAATATATACTGTCCCTAGCTCACTATCTGCAGTGGCACTAGACTACTCAGCCTTCCCTCAGGATGAGGAATTCTTCCCCGCAGCAGCCTTCCTTCTGGCTCTGCCCTCTGGGAAAAAGAACAGCTTTTCTGTCAGCTAGCTGCCATGCTTTTTTGTTTTCTTTTGTCCCTGACTTTTGCACAGCTGCACATGCTTGCTTTGCTTAGGGGGAACAAAAGGAAAGCCCTCCTCCCCCCCCCCCCCTGAACTGGCTCAGCCAGACAGCGCTATCAGTATAACCTTTCGGGAAGGGAGGGCTTGAATTCCACTACAGGTGTGAATATTTCTGCTCTCAAGGGATTGGGGTGAGTCTCCCATTCATGATTCCTTTTATCATAGACCAGTATTTTTTTGCTTTGTTACATGAACACCATAAGTGGTAAAATGTGCCATTACCAAAGTTACAATTCCAACAGTTCTTTCCTAAATTTTTATTATATTTATTTAATCTCGCTGGGGAAATAGGCCATCTATAGAACATCTTCAATATGTTTTCTTTAAATGCGCTTGTTCTTACAAATTTAATATTTCTTGACCAAATTTTACCCCATTGGTCTAAATCTAAATTATGCCCAATGTCCTGTTTTTTTCCATCCCCCCCCCCCAGTAGTCAGTGAAAATACTGGACCTTCTAGGTCAATACCGGACACGAGGCAACCTTGAAGTTGTGAGCATGTTTAGCTGGCAAGTGCTGGGTTGACGGACCCAGCAAGGCCCATGTTGGATCCCAGCCGTGGCTGAGCTGAAATCTGTATCGACAGCGTTCCAATGTTCCCTCTAAGCTGTGGCATCTTGTGAGCAGAAGTTCTGCTTTGTGAGTGACTGGCATTAAAGTTGTGAGCAAGTGATTTGGCTACTGCATAAATCAGTTAGCTCTGGAGCCCTCCTTCCTGAGCTAAGACAAAAATGTGTGAGCTGGAGGCTAAAAAACTGTGAGCTAGCTCACACTAACTCAGCTTAGAGGGAACACTGGCGTTGGCAGCCACTTTTCTCCATAGCCGGCCCAACAATTTGGATTCCTGGTAACAGAATGAAACTGGAGTCCAGTGAGGCACCTTTAAGACCAACAAAGTTTTATCCAAGGTGTGAACTTTCGTGTGCAGCACACACTTCGTCAGACGATGAAATGGAATTGCATATCATAGTGGTATATATAGGAGTGGTTTGTTAAATTAGCATGCAAAATAGTGAGGACACCTTTTTTTTAACAGATCAAAGGAATGACCAGCTTAATTCCTGGTTATCATCTTTTTCTGGTTCCTGGTAAGGTGTTGTCAGGATCAGACCTTAGCCTAGGTCAGTGATGGCGAACCTTTTAGAGACCGAGTGCCCAAACTGCGACCCGACACCCACTTATTGATCCCAAAGTGCCAACACGGCAATTTAACCTGAATACTGAGGTTTTACTTTAGAAACTTTATTTCTACATTAACATAAGATGATCCAAACAAAGTAAGGAAAGCAATCCCAAATGCTTTCATTTACTTAAAATTATTTGGCAGAGAATTCGACACTTTAATGATGGT